CATTGGCTGGAGGGAGCGCGGGTTCCTTTTGAGGTGTGGGCTGATCACAAGAACTTGGAAATGCTAAAAACGCCACGAAGCCTCAATGCTAAACAGCTCAGGTGGGACGATTTCTTTTCCAAGTTTCAGTTTACGCTGCACCATTTCCCCGGTTTGGCAAACTCCCTCGCTGACGCCCTGTCCCGCCTTGCACAACACAACAGCCAATGGGAGGTCATCTTGGACTCAGTGTTCATGCCCTCCCACCTGGGTGGGGCAGTGACTACACGTAGGCAGGCAGGCCCATCCTCAACCCCTACGTCACAGGCACCCAAGCCCCCACTGCCAGCTGAGGTGGGCGGGAAAACATGGCACAGTAAATTCACCTCTGTCTTCTCAGAGGGCGACAGGGCGGCGGTGGAGGCTGAAGGGGATTTCAAACTCAGGTCCGATGGCTGCTGGTACCGCGGAAATAAACTGTTTGCTCCACTCTCCCTGTGGGGGGAAGTACTGCATGCAGTGCACGGCTCGAAGCTGAATGGCCACCCCGGGTTTGTTAGGTCCCTTCAGCTCATGCAACGGCAGTTCTGGTGGCTGCACATGCGGAAGGATCTATCTTCATTTGTGAAGTCATGCCAAATTTGTGCCATGAGTAAACCCCGGCCGAGGGAAACTCCTGGATTGCTGCAACCACACCCGACTCTGAGCTGCCCATGGGAGGTGATTTCCATGGACTTTATTGCGGACTTGCCTCTGAGCGAAAAAAGTCGGTCATTTGGGTTGTCGTGGATTTATTCTCCAAGCAGGCACACTTTATACCGTTTATGTCCCTGCTCACAGAGAAAGCCCTTGCCAAAGCGTTTTTACTACACGTCGTCCGTTTGCATATGCTCCCGGCCAAGGTGATATCCGATAGGGGGGCCCAATTCATTTCCCGGTTCTGGGGGGAGCTTATTAAACTGATGGGGGTTGAACGGGCCATGAGCAGCGCCTATCACCCCGAGACTGATGGACAGAAGGAACGGGTTAACCAGACATTGGAACAATATCTCCGCTGTTTCACCAATTATCAACAAGATGATTGCATAGATCTCCTGCCCCTGGCCGAGTTCTGTCATAATAACATGTGTCATTCCTCTACAGGACTGTCCCCTTTTAAGGCGTTGTATGGATATGACAGCCCCCCTGTACCATTTTTGGAGGTGACCAATGACTTGGGGTTAGGGGATGTGGCTCAATGGTGTCAACAATTACGGGACTCATGGCCGCACACGGGAATCAGGCCAATTGGCCTATGGATGGGGGGGGGGGTGCATACGAATACCCTATATCCCATTGTGCTTGTAGAAACGTCGCCATTCTTAACAGTGACCATGTTACTGCCTCTATAGCTCTGCAATAAAGTATAACCTTTCTGACAAGCGTGTACTCAGTTGTTGGCTGTGGAACCTGACAAGCACCTTTTAACCAGACCATTTGCTCAGGCTGGGGTTTGCAATGACCAAGTTTGTCAGTAAGTAGCACAGCAATGTGACTTTCCTGATTGACTGCAAAAAAACAGAAGGCAGGACTAGGCTTGTTTCTTGGGTGAAAGTCTTCCTGTACATTTTGCCTTGTTTCTTTAAATCTAAAAGCGCTAGAGACTTACTTACTTTATTGAAAGATGGGAATCCAGCCAAGCTAATGGCCTAAATGAACACTGAGTAGCATGCTCAGAATTGGGAGAATCAGACCATGGAATAACCTTACCTGGCCAGTGTTTGGAGTCTTTTTGGTTGCTGGGTTCTTGCTGAACTGATGCTTTGTTGTATTCTCTTCTTCTTAGAGCCCCTTTTCCCTCCAACTAGAGACTCAAGGTTTATATATTGTGCTAATGATGATTTGAATTTCATTGGAACAGCAATTTTGTTAGCTCTCTTCCCATTTTGTGGAAGACAGGCTAGATAAAAATGTCTTTAAGGGACAAACAAATCACAAAACTTTTTTATTTATTTACTTTACTTAATGAATTTATTTTCTGCCTCTCAAGAAAATAAGAGCTCCAGAGCTAAGAGCCCTGTTGATTCTCCTAGACCTCTCAGTAGGTTTTGATGCCCTCGATCAAGGTATCCTTCTGGACTGCCTTTCAAGACAGGGACAGAGAGGCAGTGTTCTGTGGTGGTTGCAATCTTACTTTGAAGACAGATTTCAGATTGTGTGGCTGGGGGGTGGCTGGGGTGTGGCTGTTGTGCCCCCAGATCCCTAGGCTGCAGGGTCGTGCTTTTCAGCCTCTATGGAAAGGTCCTGGGAAAGGTCATCCACAGATTTGGGATGAGTTGTCACCAATATGTGGATGATACTCAGCTCTGTTTCTCACTTCCAGCAGATCCCATGGCGGCCATGGAACAGGTGCCTGGAGGGAAAGGATGAGGGTGAACAGGCTGAAACTTAACCCCGACAAAATGGAGGTGCTACTGGTGGGGAGAATGTTTGATCTGTGATTGGAATATGTCCTGTTCTGGATAGGGTTGCACTTCCTCTAAAGGAGGAGGTTTGTATCTTGAAGGTGCTACTGGATCCTGGCCTCCTGTTGGATAAAGAGGTGACAGTGGTGGCCAGGGATGCATTTCAGCAGCTTTGGCTGGTGAGCTAGCTGTGGTCCTTCTGGGAAGGAAAGATCTTGTGCCACTGTGGTACATGCTCTGAGGGGAAAAAAATCCAGATTAGATTACTGCAATACACTCTGCATGGGGCTACCCTTGAAGACTGCCTGGAAACTACAGTTGGTACAGAATGCAATGGCTAGAATATTGACTGGAGTAAGTCACAGGAACCAAATCATTCCAGGTTTGTTCCACCTACATTGCCTCCAAGTTTGCTTCTGGGTCCAATTCAAGGTACTATTGATTTTTCAGGCCCTATATGGCTTGGGGCCATCATACTTTAAGGACTGCCTTCTCCCATATGAACCTATCTGCCTACTCTGGTCATCTTCAGAGGCCCTGTTTTGGGTGTCTCTGCCCTCTGAGGCTAGACACGTGACAGCTCCATAAAAGGCCTTCTTGGTCATAGCACTGACACTTTGAAACTCCTCCCTAGGGAGTTTCATCTGTCTCCCTTTATTGTTGTCTTCTGCCAGCAGGTGAAGACTTTTTTGCTTTATTTGGCATTCCCTCAGTAACTGTTATTGCCCCTTCTCCTTTATTGTGTTGTTATGCGTGTTGGTCTACTTATATGTTTTATTGAATTGCTTATATTATATATACTTTATTTGAAATGCTGTTTTAATATTGGATTTTTTAAATGTTCGCTGCCTTGGGGACCCTATTTGGGTGGAAAGTCAGTATGGAGATGCTTTAAATAAATATAATAATACACATATAAAAATCAAAAGTACGGTTAAAACCATCAATAAAACCCACCACATAAAATCAGTAAAACAATTGGATGGCAGTCATAAATTGGAGTTTATGTTAACAGATTTGGGTGTGGAAGGGCTTTCTCAGTGATGGCTCCCAGCCTTGGAACCTCCTTACCCAGAAAAAGATGGACTCCATCTTTCTGTGTTATACCTCTGAGGATGCCAGTCACAGCTACTGGCGAAACGTCAGGTTCTACAATGCCAAGACCATGGCCATACAACCCGGAAAGTCTACAGCAATTAAGCAATGGAATTTGTCCACCTGGCACCTTATCTCAAAAAAGTTGGCAGAAGGTGAGCAGATGCAGGAATAAAATTTCACAGATGGAGCACCACAACAGAAAAGGCTCTGTCCTGCATGGCTATCTACATTTCATGGAACACAAAAGCCCTGCCAGAGGAGGCCAGTGATCCATCTAGTCCAGCATCCTGTTTTATACAGCATCCAGCCAGTAACCCTGGAGCAGCAACAAACACCCCCCTCCCAGCAGAATGTGCACCTATAGTCATACGGGAGCAGGCAGCCTTTCAAGTACCCTGACATAGTTAACCTATGGGACTCACTATCACGAGGTGTGCTAGTAAGTCATCAACTTACAGCCCAAGTCTATGAATGATTAATCAGAAGAAAGTCCTACTGAGTTCAAGATAATTTATTGTGAGTACATATATGGTTGCAGCTCTAGGGAATATTATGTAATATTAGGTAAATACAGGGAGAAGTTTATCCAAGGCGGCTGTTATGATAACTACACAGAACCTCCAGGTTCAGAGGCAGTATATCTCTAAATGCCAGACGCTTATGCCCAGCTTCTGAACTCCCAGAGGCATCTAGCTGGTCACGGCTGGAAACAGAATACTAGGCTAAATGAACCCCGGCAAGCTTATTGACTCAGCAGCAAGTCCCACTGAATGCACTGAGTCCTGCTCCCGTTGGATTGCAGCCTGCGGCGAATCCAGCACAGGCAAGTCTTCCTTGTTCGGAAGTTATGTGCCGCCGCTTGCAAGCCGACACTCTCTCAAGTCCACGTGCCCAGGAATCCAGACGGAGGCTCCACTAGCTGCTTCCCTGCATCGCCAGGTACGATCCTGGAGCCCTTTCGGTTGAGGACTGAGCTACGTGCACCCCATAGCATAGGAAGGAGGTGAGAGAGCGCCTTGGCGGGCACCCACCCATTGCTTCCGCGGCTTGTCTCTCCCACCCATGCGGCAGGGGTTCCCTGGTACAGGTCGAGACGGGTCGGCCCCCTGTGCGCAGAGGCCAGGACTCCTGCCCCCACCCACCACCCTCCGTTTCACGCATGGGGAAGAGGCAGCACATGCGTGCGCCTAGGGCGCAAAGGCAAGGCGTCCAAGGGCCCAATGCGCCATGGCGCGCCGAGTCCATATGGGGGGGTCCCTGTAGCAGTCCCCGCTTTCGGGCCGGCTGCTGGTGGTGGGGAGCTGGCTGGCGGGTGAGCGGCAGTGCGGGCTCCGGGAGGCAGGGGGCTCTGTGCTTGCGCCGCGGCGACGGCGTCTCCTCGTCGGAGCGCCTCGGAGGCGGCGTCAGGCAGGCTCGACTCGGCCGCGTTTCCTCCGCCCTCGCCCATGGCCCCCGCCGCTGGCCTAGGCTCCTGACGGCTCCGTCGCTGGGTGCACCGGGCCGGGGGCCTCGATCTGGCGCGCCTGGTAAGGATCGCCGCCGTCGCCTCTTCCTTCTCCTCCTCCTCCTCTTCCTGCGGACCCCACAAAGTCATCTCTCTCCCCGCCCGCTTGCTCGCTGCTGCCTCTCCGCTTCTCCTCCTCCTGCTGCCTCCGCTCCGCTCCCCGCCCTGCCGGGCAATGAGAAGCTGCTTCTGCCTGAAACGGGGGAGCCGTGATCAGCCGCCGCCAGCGCCCCGGGCAACAGTTAAGTGTCTCCCCGGGAGCCTCGGGCCAGGCCTGGCTGTAGCCCCGTCCCGGGCTGGGCCCCGCTACCCCTCTCTTCCCCCCTCTCCTTGGCCCTGGTGCCTTTTCCGTGGCTGCCCCCCACTCCAGTTCTCCTTAAGCTTTGATTTTCCCCCTTGGGTGGCTTTTTGGGGGAAGGGGGGGGCTTACTCATAACAAAACTGCTTCTCCTCCTTTCCACCTAGCCAAAACAATGCGAGGCTCGGTTCTCTCCCCCCTGTTTGGCTGGGGGAGATGTTGGGGGGGGGGGGGCCGTGGTTATTTTGGGGCACGGC